TATTGCATACATGTGGCTGTGCTGGGGTACGGTTGTGTTGTGACAGCTCTTTGGGAAAATTTTAGGCTGAAGTTTGGAAAACATTTTTAGAACTGCTGAAAAATACAATTCCAAAAATCAGAACTTAATAGCTTATTGTGCTTGGGTCAGAACTCTGTGTTGAAGAAGTGGTGCACTTTTAAGAAACCATCATCAGTCAATGCCAAGAACAAACTTCTTTATTCTTAAGTTGGAAGACTGCAGTAGTTCAGTAATATATTCTGTTGAAGCTAACAAGCTTTTCTGTTATCCTGAATAGATCAAGGTCCAGTAACTCTGGCGTGCACACAGTGACTTTCATCTAGATACTCTGGCCCCCAAGCTGTACTTGAGAGTCCACTGACAGCGCCTTACAGTGTCAGAGATCAAAGTGGGAGAAAGGCTAAAAACTGTATATAGAAAATTGTTAATATGGCTCTTGCTTGCAAACACCTTCACCCCCCCAAAAAAACAACAAATGAACAAAAACACCCCACCAAAAAACTAACTGGTACTTTTCCAACAGTTTTGGCAGAGGAACAATTACAATCCTACACTTACTCCTAACAGCTGTGTGTTTGTTTGTTCTGCATTTAGTGCAGTTGCAGCATATGGCCGTAAGCAGATGTGTGGGAGTAACCAGAGGTTTTCATGACTGAATCCTTAGTTTCTTTTATCAGATGTTATAAAATTGTATCAGTGTGCTTATATAATGTTATTGGACAGTAATATTTACTTACAGGTAAATAGTTGGCTAATACTAGAATTGATTCGTGCAGATTGCCCTTCCTCCTCTTCCTAAGTCCGAAGCTGACTGCATTGCAATGAAACTACCAGGGGGTTTCAAGGTTTATTTCCACCCCGCACCAGAAATATATGAGCCTCAATGATTTTTTTTACCAAGGAGGCAGAAAAGATGAAGATAGGCTTTCTTACAGTTCACTGGGCATGGGGCAGTGTTTTTGTTCTGATTTTAATATAAAGTAGATCCAGGTTCAAGTCCCTGCTTGTATATTTGATTCAGAACACATCATTAAGCGTTGTGGATCTGTTTTGATCAACCGCCCACATTCAGCATTGATTTCACACACT